TCAGAGCCTCGATCCTCGAGCCGCCAAACCCTGAGATCCGACGTTGCGAACAAAAACTGCAACAACTTGAAAGTCACGACCGGCGCCCTAGGCACCATCTACAGCCGCAGTTATTCGAGCCAGATGGATCTGTGAGGGTCCGAGGGCCTGAAACCAGGCGAAGCGCCCAGTGAGAAACAAGTTCAACGCCTGGATCTAAGGGCTCGGTCCTCCAACTTCAGGCCTCGAATCTCGAGCCTCGAAGTTGCCCTCTGGAAGCGGCCTGCGGCTGAGAGAGCTGGGCCCCAGGCGCGGTGGGGCCGAGCGCCTGCCTTGCGAGAGATACGACAAGTTGGGGCCTCTTCGTCGCCCCCCTCTGCCGGGCGTCGTCGTGGTCGTGGTTGTCGCGTGGTCGTCCTGGCGTCGTCGCCGCCGCCGTTGCCATCGAGGCCGCCGTTGTTTCCGTCGTCTTCGCGTCGCCGCCGCCGCTGTGGCCGCCGCCGCGTCGTTGTCGTCGTCGTCGTCGTCGTCGTCGTCGTCTTCGTCGTCGTCGTTGTCGTCGTCGTCGTCGTCGCCGCCGTCCCCGCCGTCGCCGTGGCCACGGCTGTCGCCTTCATTTCGGCGCCACCGCCGCGGCGGAGGCACAGCTGGCAGTGCGATGGCCGCCATCCCCCAGCCTGCGTCCCAGGCGGCGGCCGCGCTGCTGGCTCCGAATTTGCAGGGGGCCCAAAACAGTACGGTGATGAGTCAGTGGAGATTCGGGGTGTCGAAGAAGAAAAATTACTCACTGCGTGGAGCTCCCCATATGCGCATCCTTTTGAAAGTTAATATTATTTGGGATATTTCAATGGGCGTCTAGCCATCTGAGCCATATGTGCATCTCATACTGTAGGGACACAAGCTCGGCACCAGCAACACCTGGTCACTCCTCCTTGACCGCCGTACGCAACGGGGATAGCCACTCGGGACACAGAAAACAGGCAAACCGCTCGAGGCATGCCAACATAACGGCGACGAACGGAGCCATGAAAGCACCTGCTGCTCTCCAAGCGATGGATGTTGGGGCAGAAAACAGGCAAACCGTTTGAGACATCCTCACAAAACGGCCGCGAACGGGACCGTGCAATACCCCTCGGCGGTTCCCTTTAGATAGCTGAAGCCAGCGCCCCGCCTGAGACGTCCTCACAATATGCTCTCCAAGCGAAGGATGCTGAGACAGAAAACAGGCAAACCGTTTGAGAGATTCCCTCAAACGGTCGCGAACGGGACCGTGCAATACCCCTCATCGACTCCCCTTAGGGGTGCTGAAACCAGCGCCCCGCCTGAGACATCCTCACAATCTGCTCTCCAAGCGAAGGATGTTGGGACAGAAAACAGGCAAACCGCTTGAGACATCCCCACAAAACGGCCGCGAACGGGACCGTGTCATACCCTTTGGCGGCTCCCCTTCGGGGTGCTGAAACCAGCGCCCCGCCTCAGACATCCTCACAACTTGCTGTGTGTTGAGTAAGTCAGACAATGAGAAGGTCTGAGTATGAGTAAGTCTGGGTATGAGTGAGTCTCAGCATGAGTAAGCCTGAGTATGAGTAGGTCTGAGTATGAGTAGGTCTGAGTATGAGCCAGTTAGTATGATCAGGTCTGATAATGAGCAAGTCTGTATCTGAGTAAGTCTGTGTATGAGTCAGTCTAGGTATGAGGAGGAGGAGGAGGAGGAGGAGGAGGAGGAGGAGGAGAATAAGAGGAATGAGGAGTAGGAGGCGTCCAAATAATAACAAGAACCCCATCTTAAGATATGGGGAATACATACGGGACACATACTTTTCAACTGTCCGCACGGATTTCTCGGATCTGCGGTGGACCCCCCTGGCGGCGCCTCTTGCGCAGCCCTTGGCGCCTTTGGCGCGCTCCGCGCGACGACAAAGTGGTCGCGAGCAGCGGATTCGCAAACCCGCTTGTCAACTTCAGGAAGGGTAAATACAGAGTTCAGGCCAGGGCAACGTTCGAGGGGGAAAGGCTCAGGGGGGATCGCAGCGACCCCCAAATTGCCCATTCATCGACGATAGCGGCCTGATAGTCTAGCCCGCCCAGGACCGTACCGATCCGCCATCGGCGAGTATTGCAACATCTATTCAAGATTTATCGTCGATTCCAGGTTGATGCTTTCCCCCTCAGCCTGTCCCCCCCTGAAGTGCCCCCACAAGCGTCCACATGCGACCCCCACACCTATTTCGACACCTCTCACAGACTTCATGGCCCCATAGGGAGCTCCACCGAAGGCCCCAGTGCCACCGTCCACATGCGTCCGCCGCACCCATGTCGGCACACCCCTCACAGGGTTCGTGACCCCATAGGGAGCTCCACCGAAGGCACCAGTGCCACCGTCCATTGGCGTCCCCCACACCTATTTCGGTACACCCCTCACAGGGTTCGTGACCCCATCCACCGAAGGCTTCAGTGCCACCGCCCGTGTGCGCCCCCCGCACCAAGTTGGACACCCCCCCCCCACACGTTTCGTGACCCCATAGGGAGCTCCACCGAAGGCCCCAGTACCACCGTCCGCATGCTTCCGCCGCACCCATTTCGGCACACCCCTCACAGGTTCGTGGCCCCATAGGGAGCGCCACCGCAGAAGATATTCACAATTGCGGTACGCACGACTGGATATGGTTGGGTCTTTCGCCAGGTTTTTGATTTGGGGGGCGAACCCAGCCATGAGGGAGCATTGGCCTGACGTGATCTTGCGCACCGGCAAACCTGAGAACTCGGACCTGAGGCCCATCGTGTTCATTAGCTTTGCGTTTCGGGTCTGGCCAAGATTCAGGCAAGGGTTGGCCAGACCTTGCTACCTACATCTCCAGTGTGATGCGGCTGGGCGGGAGCACAGCATGCACAATCACTTCGCACAGGTGGCGCACTATGATGACAGCGGCCCGATCTTCTCCGACTTAAGTTCTACGAGCGCATATCACACAATCACCACCGTGACCAGGGGGCAAGTGTTGGCTTCCCCCTGGGGGGTCTCCCAATTGGCATGGAGGCTGCGCTCGGGGCCCAGGACCCTCACCTTCTAGAGTACCATTTCGGATTTTTCGTGGTCAATGGTTCAGTTCTGGCCGGGTGTTTTTTGCCGGTGACCACGGCGAAAGTCTCCAGGCAAATCTCATTGATCTCTCTCACCCCCAGCTACCCAGCCGCATTTGTGCGCAATTTGGTAGACGATGCGCGCGCGCACAGTGCATTGGCGCACACCGAGTTTGAGGCACAGGCTGGACCTTGGCGCTAGGATGCAAGGAGCCAAAGCTTGTGCTGGCAGAGACGAAAACTCAGTCAACCACCTCGTGCGTGAACCTGGCGAGCAACCTCTCCAAGGAATGGGGTACCCAGTTGCTCTCTCGTAAGTTCGCCACCAAGTCCTCGGGTTCGGACACCCACACCAACAAGCGGAGAGCGGTGGCGACTGTGGCAAGCGTATAAGGAAGGACCCAATACGATTCCCGGAAGCTCCTGAAGCTGCAACGCGCGGGTGGCAAGTTTGAAGGCCCCCATCAGGCTGGACTCCGGGCGACGACCTTTTGGGGGCTGCCATTGTAGGCAGTCCAGGGAGGCAGCTACATGGCCTGCGCAGCGCCGCTGTAGATAGCACATGCCGCTCGAAGAGGGGCATCTCGGTAGGTATCAAACTGGGCGCCACCGACGTTGCGAGGGCCATGTGCCCTCAGAAATTTGTTCAAAGCCAGGTGATTGTGCATTGGGGTAGAGCGGTCTGGCTAGGCGGCCTCCCCATCCACATTCTCCACGGCACTCTTGACGCGGCAGCTGCGGAGCCCAGCCAAACCGCATTTCCGCGGAGCACAGCCTACTGCCCTGCCCACGTTTTCCCCCTCTCCCTTCCGCGGTTAGCATGGTCGGTAGCCTCGGCGGCGGCGCTCATCGTGGGTCACGGAGAGAAATTAAACCTTTGGAAGTTGGCACCTGAGCAGTTCCAGTGGATGGCGCACTTGCCGCAAGGGGCCTCTCTGACGTCATGGCCTTGTGCAGGATGGAGGAGAACTCTTGCCAGGCCCGACCCACCTGTTGGAGGGCCTTGGTCTTGCTCGTCGAGGGGGAAACTATGGGCGCGTGGGCTGAGCGCCGCAAGGGGAGCTTCCAATATGTTTCTCAGCAGCATGGTGCCAGACAATCGGGCCATGCATGGCAAATCAGATGTAGCAGAAGCCAGTTGTGCCAGTCGGCGCCAGGCAGCCGCTGGCATCGGAAGTTTCGTTGCAGGCCCAGGGACAACAAGTACAGAGTAGATTTATTCCTGGCCGCCCTCAAAGCGGCAGAGGTCTTGCAGCACGCCGGCCAGGCCCTCGGAAACAAGGCTGCCTCGGGCTCTTCCCCTTCCCCCTTGAGCTCGTCCCTCGTCCCCTCTGGGCCTCGGAGGTTTAGGTGGTCTCGGTGCGTAGGCCCGAGTGCCAGCACGGATGGCTTTGCCCGGTATGCGACGTGCCTCATTGGCCCAGCGTGCGGGCTGGAGCTTGGTTCGGGGTTCAAGGGACGGGGGTCAATGCAAATGGGGGTCGAGCGCCCGATCTTGCAGGATCCTGCTGCAAAGCCAGGGTCGCATTGACACGGGTTTTGGTGCAGGATGCTGCAGGATCTTTCAGGATCCTTCGCGTTGACCCAGGTTTGGGTGCAGGTCCTTTGCAGGATCTTGCAGGATTCTGCAAGGCCTGACTGACCCGGGTCTGCATTGACCTGGGTCAGAAGATCCCCGATTGGTGCAGTCGGGGGACAGCGGAGATGTGATCGTTGCCGTGTATGGAATTTTCGCCTGGGACTGTGCATCGATCGAAGTTGCCAGAGACGTCGAGGATTGCGCTGTGCTCGTGGCCAGCGCAGGCTTCGCGCAGGGCGGTGCCACCTTCCACACTGATTGCCAGGGCATTGTTGATTGCATCAACGGCCCTCCCCACGCCCGCAATGTTGGAAATGCCAGATGCTATACTTTGGAAATTCTTCGTGCTCTGAACGGGGTGTCGGGCGGTCAAAGCGAAGGCCCACATGTCGTGCGGCGCGGCGTGAGAGTGGCAATCCGGAGCAAGACTTGTTTGGCCTTCAGCTCAAGACCCAGCAGAGCCTCGCACTCGAGCGCGGGAACCTGACGAGCATCTGCTTTATACTCGGTCGCCTTGAGATAGCACAGGCCAAAACCGACTTGTGCTATTCCAGTCGCTCGCGTTTGACGTATAGTAAATCTTCGAACGCCGAGTTTTTTCGCATCTTCTGAACCCCAAGTCATGATGTCTCGGCTACTTTTGCAATTTTGTGCTCCGGGGACATCGAGAACGGCCCCTGTCCAAGTTTCTGCGTGCTATCCTCGCCCCCTGTGTTGTGCTATGTGCGCGCTGTGCTATCCTCGCCCCTCCCCCCATGATCCTCCCTGTCGCGCCCTGAGGCCAGTTTTTAGGCCGGGTCGGGCGTATCGCCTAAGACTTCTCCACCACCTATGACTCCGAAGCTTAAAAAGGATCCCTGCGCTCCAGGAGGACCCGCACCGCCGACACCAGAGAACCCCGTGACAGATGGCGAGATGGGGTCGGTGGCTGGGATGTAGGGCGGGTCCGTTCTCTTCTCTTCTCTTCTCTTCTCTTCTCTTCTCTTCTCTTCTCTTCTCTTCTCTTCTCTTCTCTTCTCTTCTCTTCTCTTCGCTTCTCTTCTCTT